GAATAATTTGGGCAGATATTATGAAAAGGAAAGGCCTTGCTTAATATATTTTTTGGACTCTGTAGGACAAAGGACAACTGGTAAACCTTGAAGTGACTGTTGTACAGTGGTCGTGCACATGCTCACCATCATCTTTGAGGGAACGTTTCTGCTTCCCGTACATGAGAGGGAGAGGTGGTAGGCCTTACTGCTCCACTTTGAAACGTGAGCATTCACTTTCCCAAAGTGCTAGAGCAATAGTCCTTATTGCTAGAAGAATTGACTGCCTATGGATTTTCCCCTCTGCATTGTGTACGTTATCATTGCTGCACCAGTTGTGACAGTGTTGAGAGGCTACCAGTTATATTTGCTGTTAATAGTCTATTTGTAGATTAGTATTGAAATGGGTTTAATCCATTTTTAAAGCTGTACGGATTTTTCTAAAGGAACAGCCATTTGCAATATGGGTTTTCATAGAGATTAAACCAATTATAACGTTTAGCAGTTGAGAGCACATGTTCATATAGCAATGTAAAAACACACTAATGAGTATTTGATAATTTCCCATTAGCATAATTTCATGTTGTACAAGTAAATTACAATTACATCTCTAATTTTGGTTAATATTCATTGGTTAACAATAAAGTGACAAAAGCTCAAAAAAAAAAAACCATCATGAATGTTATTAGGCATTGATGTCTTTTGTATCACTTGGATAAGAAAAATTGGACCAAATCCTTGGGTATTTTTAGCCAGAGTAAATTGAGTTAACCATGAACTAGTCTTCTTTGCTACATCCAAGCTATATTGAACAATGAAAACATATATAGAAAAAAACCGAATCCTTTAGACACCAGGTGGGAAGCAAATAGTACAAAAAACAAAACAAAACAAAATAATCACCAAAAAATGGATTTAATGAAGGGAAGGACATTTTAATCTTGATTTATAATTTCACTGAAACCAAGACCATTTTATTATTTATAAATATACCAGCTAAAATTTAAATTTTTATTACAAGATTATTTAAGATTCATAAGACATGAGAAACTTTTTTAGTCACGGCTTTCAATTATCAGTGGCTTTGAAAATGAGTACATCTTCAGCATCTTTTATGTCCACCTGAATGTAGTCTCAGGTGATTTGAGAAAGCCCACTACCTCCTAGGAGTTAGAAGTACCTAGAATCAGAATCAAGTCCTTAATGTGTTATGTCCTTTTCCTTTTGTTGATAAAACCATATGGTTTTTATTTTATGATGAAGACTCTAATCAACTTTAATTATTACTGTTAAAAGTCTTGCTGGGTGGTGGTAGTGCATGGCTTTATTCCCACCACTCAGGAGGCAGAGCCAGGTGGATCTCTGTGAGTTTGAGACCATCCTGGTCTATAGAATGAGATCCAGGACAGGCACCAAAACTACACAGAGAAAACCTGTCTAAAGGGGGAAAAGTCTCTTAAATGCTATGTGTTGCTTATTTATTTATTTATCTAATAGGCCATATTTTATAAATAAATTTGTATTTTATTTTATTTTATTTTATTTTTTTTTTTTTTGAGACAGGATTTCACTTTGTAGCCCTGGATGTCCTGTTAAGTGCTCTGTAGACCAGCCTGGTTGCAAGCTCAGAGATTCACCTGTCCCTGCCTCCTGATTGTTGGGATTAAAGGCTTGCATCACCAAAGTAATCTTATAATTACAAGTTTTTTTTAAAAATTAAATTAAGCATCTCACATTATTGAGCCCCTCCTTAAACTATTATCATTTATATGTCTTTAGTCATTATATATTTTCATACTAATTCTTATAACAGGCTTTTAGGTGGTCTGATTCCCCTGTTGTCTATCATTTCATGGACAAAGAAATGTAGGCTAAATAGCAAATGACTATTAAATACAAGAAAAAATATGTCCATAAGAGATAATTTCATTTCAGTGCTTTATTTTTGATATTTCCCGTTTGTATTTTAACTTTACAGAAAAGCACAAACCAATAGAGCTGAACTATATGACATTTGATTCTAAATCCAACCATTTGTGCATTTTATCCTAATCATGACATGACACATATGTTTCTGGGAATGATGGCATATGCCTACAATCTCATCCCCTTGGAGAACGCAGTGGGAAGAGTGTGACTTCAGAGAAGACTGGGCTAAATAGTGAGATTTTGCCAAAAAAAGGAAAAAGGAAATTACAGGCACTTTAACTTTTTGATATTATTTTCACTAAAAATCATATGCCAGGAAGATTTTCAGCAACAAATATTTTCAGAAATAAATTTTCCATTTGTTTCTTAAAATAAAACTATAGTTCCTATAGTCATTGTAATTTGTGAATAAATACAGAAATATTTTAATTATCCAAAGTTAAAGAGTTATTACACATTAAGGATTTGAAAACTTAGATATTTTATATCGAGGCCATTTATATTTATATAACTGTGTTTACTAGAATCAGAAAATAAGTATAATATGTTTGGAACTTGTCAAATGTAATAACATATCAAGTTTAGATTTGTAAATTTATATTTTTGTACATGTACTCAGATATAAAAAAAATTTAGAGAAGGTAATTGGATTTTGTTTATGGACATTTCACGTGTGCCCTTATAAATAATAAGAAAATGAAAGGAAAATAGAGGCAGGGGGAGAGGCAATTTTTATTATAAAACAAACAGCTATTTTTGCTATCTAATGCAAATTTTATTTTAAAAAAGACTGTGCACTCAATACTGACTTCCAAAAATTTACATTCCCTCTAGTAATACACTGATTAAGAAGACAGTTTATGAAATCAGTACAGAATTTTGCTCATAGATGGGTAACACTGCAGTAACTTCACTGTAGAAAAGTAAGGTGCAGTTTTGATTTTCTTGACATGTTCCTTTCCAGTGTAAATAATTTTGTTTTTATTTCGAATCAGTTCTAACATTTAGCACCTTGTTCTTTCATCCCAACGATTACTGATGCACCGCTTCTGGCGGGAACCAAAACTGAATTCAAATAGAGGAAATTGTCCCAATTTTATCATGGATAACTTTTTTTGAGGAGAAAAGACAAAAACAAAGGGAGCTTTAAATATGTTCCAGTAAAGATAAATCACTTATGAAGGTGATCCCTCCTTCTTCAATATGAAAGATGGTATTACATCCACAATAATATGTAAAATGTCCGACAACCGGATTGTAGATCATTTTCTAAAACCAGCTATTTTGTCTGTGACAGTTTCCATTAACATTGAAATGGAAATCCAGTCATCATATTATCAAATTTCACTTGATGTTTAGAGCTTCTTAGATAAATGTTCTATTATTATTATAATCACTGGACCAACATATGGAAGTTTTCACTTATACTACAATTAAAATTTCTCTAGTCTAAGATCAGACTTCTTTATTTTAGGATAAAAGAAAAAAGATTAGGTGACTTTTAGACTTAATATGCTCTGCTGCGCGGTGGTGGCACACACCTTTAATCCCAGCACTCAGCAGGCAGAGTCAGGCGGATCTCTGTGAGTTGGAGGCCGGCCTGGTCTACAGAGCAAGATCCAGGATAGGCACAAAAATTACACAGAGAAACTCTGTCTTGAAAAAACAAACAAACAAACAAACAAACAAACAAACAATAATTAATATGTTCCACTATTTTATAATAATTTACATGAAATGGGTAGAGAAAAATGTTTTGAGTATTAGTACTGTTACAATTTATGAATGAGTACACATTACTTAAATGATTGTATGCTCTACAAGCACGCATATGAATTTTACAAAATGATTATTTAAGAAAAAGACTAAGGTATTTTCTGCTCAGATTTTTTGAAACATTTTCTGGATAATCATTATTTGGCAGCAGTTT